ACCAGGACTAAAACAGGACTAAAACCAGGACTAAAACAGGTCTAAAACCAGGACTAAAACCAGGTCTAAACCAGGAGTAAAATCATTACTAAAACCAGGACTAAAACCAGGACTAAACCAAGACTAAAACCAGGACTAAAACCAGGTCTAAACCAGGTCTAAAACCAGGACTAAACCAGGACTAAACCAAGACTAAAACCAGGACTAAACCAAGACTAAAACCAAGACTAAGCCAGGACTAAAACCAGGTCTAAACCAGGACTAAACCAGGAATAAAACCAGGACTAAAACCAGGTCTAAACCAGGACTAAAACAGTACTAAAACCATGAGTAAATCAGGAATAAACCAGGACTAAAACCAAGTCTAAAACCAGGTCTAAACCAGGACTAAAACCAGGAGTAAACCAGGACTAAAACCAGGACTAAAACCAGGTCTAAACCAGGACTAAACCAGAACTAAACCAGGACTAAACCAGGACTAAACCAGAACTAAACCAGAACTAAACCAGGTCTAAACCAGGACTAAAACCAGGACTAAACCAACACTAAACCAGGTCTAATATAGGACTAAAATAGGACTAAATCAGGACTAAGAGATACTTTGACAACATAATCGCACTCAAAGCAGCCTGTGCAAACGCATTACCATTACTAATGAAAGTTTCTCTGATTGGCTAATCTGCATGTCAATCACGTCCATTAGGAGCAAACATCGAAGTCTTGTGTAGAGATGGGGGGGAAAGTGTAGTGCGAGCTGGTGCGGCTATTGATACTTTGCAGTGACATTGGTCTGAGGGGATTTTACATGTGTGTTTATGGTGGAATGTCCAGCAGTTACCATGGTGACAGAGTGCAGACATTTGCAAACACTGTCAAAACGTAAGATAGTCTGAAATCCCAAGACATAAATATACAAAATTGACACATTTAAACAACAAATTTTTAGGAGTATGTGATTACTACAAGTGTTCATGGTCAAGTTCAAGCTTGTTTGTGACTGTAATTTTATGTTTGAGAGACTTTAAAAGCAGTTTAAAAGCAGAAATCAGCTCACCTGTTGTAGTTCCAAATAAACCATCTTTTTTTGGTCAGACTCTGTTAAAATTGTTAAAATAAAGATCAGATCTAACAAGAATCAGATAGAGCAGTGCTTACAGTTAGCATCACATCCCCGGGGAAAGTTGATGAGATTAGCTGCAGGGCATCAATAAATGGTATCACTTTACCGCTCAAGGCAATGTTTACTGGTATTGATTTATTGGCTTTCTTAGTATAGTAAATCATGCGTCAATACAGCTGTGTTATGCATTGGAAAGAGTAGGAAGGAGAGGCTGAGGAGGCTGATGGTCTTGCTGCTGTGGGGGACAAGTGACTGGGTGATTAGAAACTGCACTAGAACAATAGAGGGCAGAGAGAATGCATTTAATGCTGGGTTTAAAATACAGAGCGATATCATTCTGGATTTTCCAGGCAAACTCACTACAGCAATTTCTAATTTCTCATCATCCTGAAAACCATGGGCCTAAAACCCGCCTTGCCCCCAATCTGAGAGAGTGACATCATCACACCACCGACATAAGTGGGTTTAGATGTGATTTACTCAGAGGCAAATGTGGACCACTGAACTGGCTGTCTCCATGGAGACAAGCAGCTAATGCCACCAGCTCAAGTTACAGATCAGATCTGTGGAGAGGTGACCCTGGTGACATTAAACTCATTTTTGAGCAATAAAAACACCATAATTGGATAAGTGCACAATAGGTTTTATGCCATACTCACCACGTTTACATTGGTTTTTTTTTGTTTTTGTTTTTTTTAATTCTGAAGTAATTGTTCTGAATTAAATAGTTCAGAATTAAAATATTCTCCCTTGAGTTTATATGGAAATAATAATTCTGAATTGAGGTTTACATGGAAAACATGTTAAATTGCCATTATTCACTTCCGCTCAGCGTCTGGGGGTGGGGAGCGGTTCTGATTGGACAGGGACACGAATATATTTACGGCTAATGGTAGAAAACACATACTTCAGCTGCTACCAGCTTTTTTGTCGTCTTGGTTTGTTGTTACGTCACGGACACAAATGTGATCCAAACTTTTTCGGCAGTCGGAGAATTCTGTCATCACGCTTTACGTCTGTCGGCTGAGGAGGAGAAGGGAAGAGTGTCAGAGAAGGCGGGAAGAAGACAAACTGAGTCAACAGCTGATCTACCTCAGCCCACTCCCGCATCCTGCTCGCAAATCCAAAGAGACGTGGATGAAAGTCCGAAGCCAGGACTGGTGGAGCCGCATCGTCCGGATCGCGTCAGAAGACGACCCAACGAGCATGACCTGAACGATCGGAATTATTTTTAAGCAAAATATATATTTACATGATCGAGAAATAAATTAATTTGGCTTTAAAATAAATAATAATCACCCACTTACTTTGGAATTAAGTTTCATTTCAAATAATTATTTTCATTATTGTTTCATAAGTGTTTACATGGTCTTTTTGAAGCAGAATTCATTTTTATTCAGAATTAAAGCTCTCATGTAAATGTGGCAACTGTGAAACATTCCAGGCAAAGCAGCAACATCTCCATAGAGCCAAGCAGGTGGTGGACTCACTCGACAGAAAAGTGGTACTGTGACTGAGCTGGTTTCAGGCCCTTATTATCTGGCTTCGAACAGAACATAGAAGAAGTGACTGGCTGGTCAGGGTTGAAATAAACATTTTCTGTGCAAATTTGGCATGAGTGAGCAAAGCATATTATTTTTATAAGTCTGCGAACTTACGCCATGTTAAAGTTTCTCAAGAATAATAAATGACAGCACATAAAATACAGAGTTCACTGCACTCTGAAAGTTCTCACTCCTACACGGTATACAGCCTTATGCGCGTATCACCAGAAAATATTTACTCAAGTGTGTTTTTGGACATTGTAGTTGAACCAAATAAAGTCGATATGTTGTGTTATAGGCTTTCCACTATTATCTGGAGGCTACGGCTTACATCTGCGGAGTCTGAACATTTCCCAGAGGTCCCGTGAACCACAGCCAGTCTGCAGATAGTCATCTTGAGTCAGGAGGGGCCCGCCAGCACACCATGTATTATTCATTCATATGTGAGTTACAGTGTGTGCGCCTGTGGTCCGATCCGCAGAGCAAGCCAACACAGATCTAATCTATCTGTGTGATGGGTAAAGTCCTCCAAACTCCAAGAGATAGTTCCGCTCGCACAAATATTGTTGTTGTGGAAAATGTAGGTTAAATGGAGCGTGGTTTTGTAGCGTAAAAGAAAAGTATTGCTGCGATGTATAGATACAGCAGTTTGCAGCAGATCCACAGACTAACTAGAGGTACTGTTCTGTCTGAAGATCTGTTACTAGCAGTGTTGGGAGTAACGCGTTATAAAAGTAATGAATTACTGTAATGCAAAAAGCAATGTGGCATTACAGGAAAAAGGTGTAAAAATGTAAAAAATATTTTACTCTGTACAAATGTGAGTAATGCGCGTCACAATGCTTTTTTTTAACCTGGATTGAAGTGGTGGGTTTTTTTGTTTTTTTTCACACAAATTTGCTAAAATCATGATGATATCAACAGCGCCGGATATCAGAAACGCCGGAGCTGCACCCGCATAGACCGTGATCGTGAGCGAAAGGACCGATCGCACTCGGGGGTTCTCTCAGGGGCGGTTCTAGATTCCAAATTCTAGACCAAGATTAGTCCTGGTTTGGTCCTGGTTTAGACCTGGTTTTATCCTGGTTCAGTCCTGGTTCAGCTCTGGTTTAGTCCTGGTTTTATCCTGGCTCAGTCCTGGTTCAGCTCTGGTTTAGACCTGGTTTAGTCCTGGTTTAGTCCTGGTTTAGTCCTGGTTTTAGTTCTGGTTTATCCTGGTTTTATCCTGGCTCAGTCCTGGTTCAGCTCTGGTTTAGTCCTGGTTCAGCTCTGGTTTAGACCTGGTTTAGTTCTGGTTTAGTTCTGGTTTTAGTCCTGGTTTTAGTCCTGGTTTTAGTCCTGGTTTAGTCCTGGTTTAGTCCTGGTTTTAGTCCTGGTTTATTCCTGGTTTTATCCTGGTTTTATCCTGGCTTTATCCTGGCTCAGTCCTGGTTCAGCTCTGGTTTAGTCCTGGTTTAGTTCTGGTTTAGTCCTGGTTCAGTTCTGGTTTAGTCCTGGTTTTATCCTGGCTCAGTCCTGGTTTAGTTCTGGTTTAGTCCTGGTTCAGTTCTTGTTCAGTCCTGGTTCAGTCCTCCTGGTTCAGTCCATGGTTTAGTCTTGGTTTAGTCCATGTACTGTCACGTGGAAACAGGGAGGACCCAAAACGCAGGACTGCTTCAAAAATATTTAATGACAAATCAAAAAATCCAAAACTCGAAGACTAAATTGTCATGACAAGAGACACAGAGACAATGGACCAACCGAGGGCAGAGGAGAACACAGGGTATAAATGCACACACATAGACCCAGGTGAAACACATTAGGGCGGGGCAAACAATCAAGACGGGAAGTAAAACTCAAAAATACAAGGTGACAGGACAAATGTCAAAATAAAACACAAACTACAACCACTACAAAACATGAACCATGACAGGTACGGCGTAAAAGTTCAGAATCTTCGCAGTTATTTTGGTGAGAGTAACTTAAAGTGCTGCAATAGTCGTGTAATGTTTTACATTTTAAATACAGTAATATTGTAATGTAACAAATGACTTTGAAATGACAGTAACAAGTCATAAATAACACATTACAGTTTTAAAGTTACTTGCCCAACAGTGGTTACTAGTTAGACTTAAAAGGTGAACTATGGAGCTTTTCGGTTGGGGGTCCGTCACTCTCTTGTTTCTATGAATATGTTATTGCTCTGCCTGGAATGTTCCTGCCTTAAACAGCTCTATCTTACATTTATTCAATTACAGGTGGTTTTATAGCTCAAAAATATCAAGAAAAACTTAATTCTTAATTGTGATTGTGAGCGGGGTTGCCTCTCCACAGACCTGACCTGTAACGAGGCGTGATTAGCTCTCCATGAATATAGTCTTATCATTTATGTTGAAAATCAAGCCACATGACTCAAAAATGTGTTGTTTCAATCAGTTTTCTATATATTTTGTAAATTTGTGCATTTTGTCACCATGGCAACTGCTGAACATTGATCCATAGACATGCTGTATGCCCCAACATGCTGTGACGACAAAGTATTAATTGTGCAGGTTAGAATCCATGTTAGTTTGACAAATTAAAGATGTACTATGTAATTTTTCTGGAGGAAGGTTCAGCTCCCAGAAGTGCAAATTCGGGCACCAGTCAATCAGCAAAGAGCGACACATTCTGTGTTGGCAACGATTCCCGAGATCGAGGATTTAAAGCTGGAAAAAAGAGAATGTTTTGTGAATTTTATCAAGGGGAAAGACGTTATTGCCCTTCTTCCTACGGGATTTGGGAAAAGCTTAATATACCAGTTAGCCCCTGTTATGTCCCCTATGTCCAACAAGGGACACAACATGTACAAAACAACCCTTGAGGCAAAGTCAGTTTGGCAAACTTTTTATTTGACAGCCAAACATTCATTAAAGTGCACAAAAAATGAACAAAAGGTTGGTGGGAGGAGGCGTGGGCCAGTTGTGCCAAATCAACAAACAAAAAGATATACCAAAACAGGCCCTAACTGAAAACTAGGCTACAAAAAGGAAAGAAATCAAAAGCCTAGCCTACCTGGTCTAAAAAAGAGAATTTGGAAAACTCAAAACAACAAAGGTGGCAACAACTGATAACTAGTGTGTCTAACAACAAAAATCTACATGGTGTGAAATGTACAGGGATCCCCAAACTTACCTAACCAATCCTCCCAACCAAACAAACCTGGGCTAGCAGCCATATACACAGAGAGAGAGAGAGAGAGAGAGAGAAAGAGGCAGCACACAGCTCCTTTTAAACAGCCCTCTCCACTCTGATTGGCAGCTAGCTGGCCAATCAGCTCCAGTTCTGGTCACACCCACAGCACCTGAACACACAGGGCAGAGGAGAGAGCAGTACACAAACAAAACAAATGCCTGCATGTAACAGCCCCGTTAGTGGCTCATTACATACGTCACGACCAAATAGCAGTGATTGGTTAAATAAAAAAAATACCCGCCTACCGTCGAGCAAACGAATCCTAACGCTGCGAGGTCAGACGGTTTCCATGAAGTGAAATTGGCTCATGAAAGACTACATTTTCCTGCCTTTGCATTTTAAAATAATGTTAATGTAGTAGAGTACTTAAATGTTTAGATTTGTTTGATGGTATTTCGGACACATTTTAACATTATCAGCCCAAAAAAAACATGCAACACAGGTCCCCAGGAAGAATAGCTGGCAGTTAAAGGAGGTCAACTAAAAAAACAAAAAAAACAATGTCAAGCAAACGTCTCTGTCTGTGGCATGAGATTTTTAATTAGACATAATCTGTTTTTTAACACTACCAACATGTTTTCTTTCATAAACAAATAAAAAATTGCCTTTTCAAAACTCTTCTGTACACTTAATTTTGACTTTTTTATATGATTTACTTTTTAGATTTGTAGTTTTTAAACACAATCAGTTAGCAATTTAAGTCACACTTCTAACTCTACCAACAGATTTTCTTTAGATGAAAAAACAAAACAAAAACATAAAGTCACAAACACCTGAAAGCAAATAAAAAAATCTCAAATTTCAAACAAAACATTTAAATTTCAACTTATAGATATTTTTAACCTTAACCTGCCCTCGTCAATTCTTCTTGATCATCTTGTTGACCGAGTTGAAGGCCTGGTTCAGCCCGAGCCCCTTCGCCGCAGAGCAGGCTTGGATCTGCCAGTCCCGATCCTCCAGTTTGGGCAAGTTCAGCTGGTTGGAAATCTCTCTTATCGTCATCGAGTTCGGCATGTCCTTTTTATTGGCCAAAACCATAAGCGGAAGTCCGTCAACTTTATCCTCACTCAAAATACGCCTGAGAGCTTTGGCTGCTTCGGGCAACCTGTCCTTATCCGTACTGTCCACCACGAAAACCAACGCCTGAACATCGTCGAGGTACTGCTTCCAGTTTCTCCTCAAACTCGCCTGACCTCCTACATCCCATAAGGTGAGACTGTTCTTCTTGTCCAAATCCAGCGTTCCGACGTTGAATCCGATGGTAGGGGAGGTTACCATGGGCTGCCCGGTGAGGAGATGGGACAGCAGAGTGGTCTTCCCGGAAGAATCCAGGCCCACGATGAGGACCTGTGGAGTTCGGTGGCTGTGGCTGGCTCCCATGGCGGTTTGTTTTAATGTGTTTGGCAGTGACACAAGTAGGAATGAGGGTGCGTCATGTGACCGAAGCAGGGAGGAGTTGGCCAATGAGAAGGCAGATGTGGAGATACCGGTTAGGCAAGTCGGGGCGCATTCTACTTTCTCTGGGAGAGTAAACATGCAGGAACAGACGCACTTTTGTACAGAGGAATAATGAAGTGTTCGTCAGTTGAGTTTATGATAAAGGAGTGTAAGATTATTATTTTAAAAGGTCATATATTATGCAGAATTGACTCTGGTGAACTTTAAGCCATACTAACATACTTGGAATTGTGTTTTGTTTCATTCACACATGTTTGAGTAACCTTTTATTATTAGTTTGTCTACATCTCCAAAGCTGAAAATGCTTTGTTCCACCTTATGATGTCATATTAATAAAAATAAAAATGCATCAGTTTTATATAGCTCTTTTTTAGACAGTCAAAGACGCTTTACAGAGCATTATTCCTGAAGTCATGAAGCAGTAGTTTTCAATTTAACAGTTCCCTCCATTTCCAGGGCTAAAATACTCCTGATTATAGTGAAAGTGAATGTAGTTTTAAAACACAGTGGAGCACCTCCTGTATTACCAAATGACATCACGAGGTAGAACTTTTTTTCCTGTCTAAGGCAACATTTATATGATTACAGTCTGAACAGCAGATACAAAAGTGGTGTCACGTCTTCAGTTTTTGTTCCGCATTTAGACAAGCATTTTCGGGAGGAAATCTGGATGTATACGATGATGCAAAAGTGTGAGGAATATGCATGCCAGGCGGCTCTAGGTGGTGACACTAGGTGTTGATGTATGTGACATAAACGCGTACGTGACGTGAGCAGATCTGACCAGAGTTTTGTGTCTTGGGCAGTGTAGATGGAAACACTACGGTGGAGCGTATTCAACTTTTCCACTCTGGAGGGTGGTTTAAGATTTTTGCATTTTTAAGCCCCAAAAATGCTGTCACTGTCTAAACGAAAGGCACTTCTGATAAAATATTTTGTCGTTTTTACTCTCAAGCTTTCTTGAGAAACCCCCACCCCGCATCGGCTGACAATTCCCACATGAACACCTAAATAAAAGTGACAGCATAAGCTCATTGTTCTACTCTGACTCAATAAGTTAATCTACTAGTGTTTATTAATACTTTACCAATCAGTAATGTTCAGCTGATGTCGACGCGGTGCTTGAACTTCGTGCACCTCAAAGTCCTCGTCCGATTCCGGGTCCAGCACATGCGGCTGAACGCGCTGTATCACCATGATGAATAAAAGTTTATTCCTACCACTATCAGGGTGCACACCTGTGTCCCCCTCCCTGCCTGAGATGGGCGGAGGAAGGGCGGCTCACTCAGAGCCTACGTCACATTTGGAGGGTGGAGCCTGTACTTTCTCAGGACGGGACGGGGGATGAGCAAGTAGCCGGTCTTTCATAGTTCCTGGTCTGTGACTGCCTCCAAGAAATCAGTAAGATTTCATAACTATTGTGTAATGGATGTTCCAAAACCCAAATTGTGCTTGTATATGTGCAGAAGATACAATGTGAAAAGAGTTATTTTGCATGAGATGGGCCCTTTAAAAACAAACAAACAAACACTATGATCTTACTTACCTCTCCACAGACCTGTCTCATAACTTGGCCTACATGCTGGGACTGTTTTTCCCTGAATGTTCCACCAATATGATACAAAACTAAAAATCTATGCCACAATCACTTTCTATCTCAATATAAAAAAGTGACACAGTGCTGCTTTAATAATACCAAAGAAATACATCAATCACGTGATGTTCTTAACCGTGTCAAGCTGTACATTATAACACTTGCCAGTATAAGTGTGTTAATATAATAGGAATGTAATTGCACTTTACAAGATTGACAAGTTTCTCAAAGCATTAAGTCATTATTCATTCCCTTCTCACACTGGGAGGTGCCGAGACACTGTGGACTGAACTTTACCGGGTCTGACTGACAGCCCACCACTTACACTTACCGCGACATGAACAGAGGGAAAAGGGCTGAAGTGTCTTGCCCAAGGACACTACAATAATATGTGCTGGTTGGAGAAGGAATTGAACCCTCATGTGAATCTGAGACTGACCACTGTGACTAAGTAGTAGTAGTAGTAGTTTAGTCTTGTTTACTTTCACTCATTAAAAAAATATTGAACAGCGGGCATGGGGTATAGGTAACATTTTAACACTTTTTTAACACTACGCTTTAATTAGTCTTAAAAGAAAAAGCATCCAAACCTTTCACATTGTACCAATCGTTTATCAAGAATGATTCAGGCTTTACTTAACTGAAAGGCTAGGGGTAGGAATTGGGTTTTTGATGTTAATTAAAGGACATATTAAACTATTTTTTCTGATCTATGTTATAATGTTGTTTCCTCCTCCAAAAAACATACCTGGAGTTGTGTTTTATTTCATTCACAGATATTTAACACACCAGTCCTTTCAGAGAGTTGGATAATTTCAGCCCTGAAATTGCTGAAATTATCCAAAAAAAAGGGACTGTTAACTTGAAAAACTAAGCACAACTCCAGGTACGTTTTGAGGAAATAATAACATTCTAACAGCTCCTTAAAGCTCACAAGAGTCCATTTTGTGAATACAGGACCTGTAAAGCTTTAATAAGGTGAACTGTTGTATGCAGTTGTATGTAGATGCGAGACATGTAAACAGCCATCCTTAGTGTGTCCGCTTCTTAACTCACACAAAATGCAGTAGTATGCAAAAACTCACACAGTCCACAGTGCATTTAATTTAATTTATTTCAGCATCTGGACACGCAGTCAAAAACCGTGTCGGTCACCCTCCACAATAGAATGATCCCCACACACCGGTCTCCCTATTTGACCTAATTATTTGACATATATTTCCCCTTAGACCCGCCCTCTTCCGCTATAAACAAAGGACATAAAATAACTTAAATAACTTAGGACTGTGAAAATACTTCATTTTAATGCTTATATAAATTTAAGAAGAATATTTTTATAATTGTTTTTAAGGAAGTTTAAAATATGAATGTAAAGTAAACAAAATTACTTTTTGAACGGGCTAGCTCAGTTGGTAGAGCATTCGCCCACTGATCTAAAGGTTGGCGGTTCGAATCCCGCTCTCGACATAAACATCACAGGTTGAGCGGTTAGATCCACTGACCCGCAGGTTGGCTGGTGTGATTCCAGCTCCCACAGATGAATGCTGCCGTTGTGTCCTTGGGCAAGACACTTAACCCACCTTGCCCACAGTGTCTGCGTACACTGGTGTGTGAATGGGTGAGTGGTTCCTTGTTGTAAAGCGCTTTGAGTGCCTTGAAGGTGGAAAAGCGCTATAGAAAAATGTGACCATTTACCATTTAAACATGTGTGAAGAATCCCTCAGTCGTCCAGGTAGAATCAATGACGAGGAGAAAATTCAGTTTGTCAATTGGGTAAAAGTTAGTTTGATTGAATACGTTTCGAAGCTCATCCAAGCCGCTTCTTCAGTTCTGACACACTGAACTGAAGAAGCAAAGAAGATGCTTGGATGAGCTGCCAAACTTCTTCAACCAAACTAACTTTTATCCAATTGACAAACTGAATTTTCTCCTCTCCGTACTTTTTAAACAAATTAAATTATGGCTCTAACATTGACACTCTTACAGTAAAAAAAAAAAAAAAAAAAGGTAGTATAATCAACTAAAACTTGGTTGCCTTAATGTGCTCATAGACACATACCTCATGTGAAAACTCAGAACCTCCAGAATTCACTCACTGAGCTGCAGAAGTTGCACTAGCACTGACTCATGACTGGCTGCACTTGCTGAGGTTCAGGTGTAGATCATTTAGATCAGAGAAAGGAATTTTAGGTTTAAACCAATGAGATGTCTGCACTGAAAATGGCAACCCAAATGTGAGACTTATATGTGGCTCATTCTGCTTTCTGATTGGATAATCGTTTTATATAATCGTCGACAACCAAAACACAAAACTAACTGTAATAAACTATACATGTATCACGTATATGTTTTTGTGACTCAGAAAAAAACTGTATCACATGTTATAAGTACAAACGTTTTTAGATTTCAGCACGTGCACCTCATATATGGAGACACAGATTGGTCATGTTTATAAAAAATGTAATAAAAATGGTCTCTTAAATAAACTAAAACATACGTCCAAGTACATTTCCAAAACCCACACGTTTAGATTTGTGTTCCAGCGGAGAAGCTCACAGCTCTGCTCTCTCTCACCCTGTCACATCAGCTTCAGACTCACATGTGACGCTGGGCTTCCCGTTCCCGCGTTAATGTCATGCTAATAGTCTGACAGTGCGCTAACACGGTCACGATGTTAACACTGTTAGCTTAGGATTAGCGGATGTGTTTATCCTCTTCACATCATTACATTATCTTTGGCAAACACTTTCTGTCACCTCATACTAAACAGACTAAGCCCTCGAGAAACTAAGTGCTTTAATATTGTAAATGTCATGATACAAACTACATTTCCATACACACACACATATACGGAGGATTAAGACGCGCGCAAGTCAAACGTAGATACAAACTGGGACACACGCGGGCTGGGATGGTTTGTATAAATCAAACTGTGAAAAAAGCGAACAAGATTGTCCATTCTCGATTCACTTGTGGGTCAGTTATAATCTGAGGGACTTCTGGAGGTGCATTTTTTTACCTTATGGTCATTTTCAAGCACAGTTTTCTGTACGTTAGTGAAACAAATTGCAATTTTTTGTACTTTTTTTTTTAAATTTTTTTTATTTATGTTTATTAAGAACATCATAATCGCATTTGACAAGACAGATGCATTGCTTTCAGTGTTTTAGCACAAGTGCTAGTGTTTTTCAACACCTGTCCATATAAAAATATAAACTACATGCATAAAAACAGAACACTATTTTTGCTCTGGAGTGCACTTGCATATGCATATGTACAGATAAATTTGTTGTTTTACTCCTTTGGCTCCAAGTAATGTGCTGCTGTC